TGATGTTGCTTTTTCTAGCTAATACAACCTTTTACTGCACTCTATTGAAATAATTTCTGAAAATTGTGGTAATACCATAGAGGTAACTCCAAGACTAGAAAGACCCGAAGACACGTGCTCAACTTTTTGGCTCAGCTCTGGTACTATCTTCGGTCCCAAGCTAATCGATGCACCCCTCGAAACATAGGAAAATTCACTAACCCCTCATTTTATCTGTCAAACTTTCATAGCGAATCAAAACAAACATTGTGTAGTAGTAGAATTTCGACTAGAATGGGGTACGTTAATCGTTTGCTTGGGACCAATAGGCTAGTCAAGTAGTGAGCCAATTTAAAATCGTTAGTTTCGTATTGATTGTTGGTAATACGAAGAGAAAATCGATGAAGAGAATCGATAATTGCAGTTAGGCTCTTATGATTCTGAACGCTGGATATGATTTTTTTTGTTTTATATGTGTAAAAAACTTGTTTGAATTGTTTGTATACCTCGATATAACGTAACTGTCACTTTGACTTCGGATTTGAATAAACGGATTCCACTGTTTTGGCGATTTTATCCCACAAATTTTTCATCGGAGCTCGAGTGCGAGCTGCCGTTTTGATGATTGTACCTTTTGCCTTCAGTTTTCTCTTCATAATTGCCCAGTAGTTTTCAAAGGGCCTGAACTGCACCATTGTTGTACTTCCCGGCTGTAGTGACAACTCGTAAGATCCGGTCAAAATTTCACCGGACCATCGCTTCTAGAGACATTCGGTTTCGTAAACCTCCGAATTCATCATTTTCTCAGTGACTGTTAGAACATATATTTGCGTACGAATTTATCCGCAAAAACAAATATGAATCTGCCAGGGACACCTCCTCGAGCCTTTGCCTTGTAAAATTCTGGTTCTGGAAGTTGTAAGAAGTCGGCCTTTACATACACGCTTAGAAAAACTCATGTAAATTTAGGTGCTCTGAGAGTGACATATACGAGCGTCAATTTTGACATAAATTTGAGTCATAACAGACGCGAAATATAGCTAAACCAAACGTACTTTTCGTCAAGGTAAAATTAGTTATTTCTAAGTGTGTAGGTTTCATCATCCATAAGTATGCACCAAACGGACTTGGTCAGGTTGTCATACAGCTTCCGAGCACGGGTTCTAGTAACAGAATACAGTAGCTTCTTGAGTGCTCGAATTGTTTGCCTACTGGCGCGGTATGCCTGTAAGCCTTTGCGGTAGGAAATTCGCTGCACTTTACTACGGGCGGCATCATACGGCAACCAAGCCGTCGGAGCCAAATAAATTCATCGGATTGAAGAAAACCATCGCATCGCTTCACAAGGACGTAGCATTTCTGTACCTCCCTTAGCTTAGTCGGTAAAGGCACAGCTACAAAGCAAGACCATGCTGGAGGTGGCTGGGTTCGATTCCCGGTACAGTCTAGGAATTTTTCGGGTTGGAAAATTTCTCGACTTCCCTGGGCATAGAAGTATGATTGGACTTGCCACACAATTATACTAATGCAAAAATGGTACAGGCATCGAAAGCTCTCAATTAATAACTGTGGAAGTGCATCTAGAACACTAAGTTGAGAGCACGCAATAAGCTAATATGCCATACGTAATAAGCTTGAAATGCGAGGAAGAAGAAGAAAGAAGAAGAAGCATTTCTGTAGAAATGCCAAAAATATAAGGTTATACCTATAAGCCATAGGATTAAGGTACGGACACCCATCCCACCCAGCGTAGTAAAGAGGATGGAAGCAGAGTTCATCAAGGATAGCATCAGACGGCTATATAGCAAACTGGACATGAAGGTTTTGGAATGTTATTATCTACATCTCAAATTGGCCAAGGAGTATCCAATTAAATTCCAGGAGTTTCTGTCTAGGGCCAAGGTAGCAGAGGAGTGCGAATCGGATAGGAAGCGGAAGCTGCAGGATAGGAAGCTAAACAGACTACGACAGGAGTCTCAACGGAGACGGACGACACACCGAACGGGTGAGCAGATCCCATCAACCATCACCACGACGCCGAGGGTTCACTCCATTTATGGGTTGGTTGTCAACCGATCGACGACCGCATTTACGGAAGAACAATTGACACACCTCAACAAGGGGCTAGGATACGCGGTTACAACCAAGCCAGACGTGGAGCAGATCATCATTGACGTAGAAACAGCGATTACCAAGACACTTCCAACATCAACACAGAATACGGTTAGGACTATCACATCGAACATAATCAAGGACGGACAGGAACAAAGTCGCGCCAACGAAAAAGAAATTCGGATTGTAAAGGAGCTAAAAAGTAAAGCAGTATACTACGTGAAGGCAGACAAGGGAAACGCGGTCGTTATCATGGACAAGGACGATTACGACAATCAGATGACAACGAAGATTAACAACGGACCGTATAGACAGCTTCGAGTAGACCCCTTACAGAACATAGTGAAACGCGTGGAGAAAGCACTGAAGGAGTGCAAATCGATATTAGGAGATGGAGCAGGTCGTTTACGGGAACCCAATCCCATTCTACCCAGGATCAAAGGTCTCCCCCACCCACAAACTAGCGAAGTGGCTAGTCAAAGAGTTCCAGAGTATGCCGAATCAGTTCTGGTATGGTATCTTTCGACGTCACAGCTCTTTTTCCCAGCGTACAGGTCAAGGAAGCGATCAACCATTTGGAGGACTGGCTATTAACACAACGAGAGGATGGAGCGTGGAGAAACAAGGTTCGGACGTACCTTAAACTGACCCGCCTTTGTATGGAAGAGAACTACTTCTCTTTCCAAAGTAACTTCTACAAGCCGGAGCTCCAATGGGAAACCCCCTATCCCCCTTCTTGTGTGAACTTTCCATGGCCAACTTCGAGACAATTCTGAAGGAGAAAGGACTATTACCAAATCGTTGGTGGAGGTTTGTTGGCGATATCTTCAGCGTAGTTAAACGGGAAGCCCTTCCACAAATTTTAGATGAGATCAACAGAATTCACAAGGATATCAAATTCACTCACGAGGTAGAAAAAGACGGGAAACTCGCATTTCTCGATGAAATCATTGTTAGGATCCACTAAAGACCCAGGTAAAGCTGGTGTATATAAAATAAGCTGTAATCATTGTAACAAAGTATATGTAGGACAAACCAAGAGAACTTTAGCAACTAGATTTAAAGAACATATAGCGGAGGTTAATAAGGCCAAAAAGCAAGAGGAAAAAGGCCTAACACATCTTCACAGAGGACCACCAACTATCGACGGAGGACATCACGGTTTTACGAACCGTATCTACACCATGGAAATTGGATGTTGCAGAAGCCTCGAGATCAACAAACAACGTAATTCAACTTTACTCAACAGGGATCAAGGAAACGGGCACACATGGCTTTTCAAGTTACTACCTAGGACCAGCGAATCCAAACACATAAAGCAACCAACGATACAGACAAAACGGTTGCTACGACTACCATGACAAACTCGCTCTATAACATAGCTCGATCCGAGTGGTAAAAGGATAATGATATATTACTTGCCTGCTTTGTTTCAATATACACGGATGAGGACATAGCTTGATATGAATCGACAAAAGACATAGCAAAAAAATTCCCATTAACACACGTGTATCATGTTCGGCTTTACTTCGTGAAGCAGCTTGCCAACAATTTGCTCGTTTCCTTCTACCGCCCCGAGTGCACTGTTTCGCACGGGCTGCTTTTCATGAAAAAGAAGGAAGAAGATTATATCATTATTGCTTTGCACTTCTGACATAGCGTTATTATTCGGTTCGTTGATCGCTTGTCATTTTGTCATTTGGAGATATTTTTGATTCCTTGCCTAGGATGCATCAACGAGTAAGTTTACCTAGTTTCTAAGTGGAAATGTACCTGTGTTAATATATATTCGGTAAATGCGATGTTTTTTCTTCAGTCGAGTATTAGTACAAGACACTTAAGAAATCTGCACATTGTTGATGAAATACGCGTATCTGTCAAGGATAAGCAAATAAGGTAGTGGAATTAAATGGAAATTACTAATCCTTCTCTCTCTCATTATGCATCATACGTTTTGCTTAAATCGCAATCGGACATATCTTGGTTGCTTCTGATGGACCTCATGACCTTGCGACGGAGCTGACGGTTGGCAGTTCCACTCCGGCGTTTACTTTGAGGCTTCCGATTCATCGTCAAGGTTTCCCTGTACGGTGTTTCTAAGCAAAATTCAACACTTTAGCCAACTTGGACCTTGATGGTCCTCTCCTTGGTGACTGTCTCCAAAACAAGAGCGTTTTATGAACTGAAAAAATACACTGTTATTGTTATTGCTGTTATCAACAATTAGACATCAAAATCTTCCGAAAACGTCCACTAGGAGCGCTGCAATATTCGAAAGAGTTTGTTCCATTGTTAGCCATGGTTTAACATTGACATACATTGGAATATCTGAAACACTCTGTCTGGGTATCTGTCATGTCAAGATGACTAAAAATCTGGAAAAATCCAGAATAATCTGGAATAATGGGAACGCTGCCATTTATTCATGGCATTCGAAAAATACCTAACCGTCTTAGCTATAATAATAACTTGTCGCAGTTTCCACACGCTAAATTAATGACTTCTATTAAGTAAAGGAAAATTTAATAGACAAAAATCTACCTTAAGCTCCCCTAGTTCATAACTATTCATAAGAAACGTGATTAATATCTTTATTTGTGCAAAACACAATGGTCGAACTTAGAACCTGCCTTCGCGATATCAAACACAAGGTCTACATTCCTACGCACATAACGCCCATGACTATAGCAGAGCTGAAATCATAAATCTTAGATTTACAAACACACAGCATAGTCAGACTTAGAAGCACAGAAGAGATTTGCACTCTCCCCCGTTCGAATATGGTGTGCTCTCCTTTTCCGCATTTCATTCTTTCTCTATAATAAAACACTGATAAGAAAATAGCGCATTTGTCCCCAACGACCGACGGCAGTCGTGTGTTTGACTTAGTTTAGAACCTCCATTTCCGCGGTGGTCATCATTTACACAGTTTTAGTTATTCGCGAGAGTCAATGTGTCGAAGTGGGATGGTGTGGCCACCGAAATCTTCACTGCCGTTAGGCAGATTAATGGTGGCAATTTGTCTTACGGTTTGTGGTTCCCTGGACGCAACGGTTGATGGTAATTCGGTTGGGCTGTAATCCTTATTGAGCGGGCATTAAGTTGGTATTTTCTCTTTTTGTGTGTGTGTGTGCGCGTGCGTGCATGGATTAAAGTGCCAACGAACTGTATCCAGCACACGGACATCACTGGGACATACGATCAGTACTGGGCTCTGGACGAGATCGGGAATCAACGGTCCGAGGATGTGCCGATCGATTTCCACATGTTTATCGAGGTGCATAACTTTGATGAGGAGATAGCTATGCTTCTGTCGAAGGAAGATCGATCGTTTGAGCATCCGGATTTTGCGAGGACATACGAGATCCGGTTGGGGCATATCTACACGGTGATCTACAGGGAGACATTAAAGATGAAGGCCTATCACAGTCCGTTGAATAAGCTGTTTCCGGGAGATAAGTTCAAACTACGGATTCGGATCTTGAAGGAAGGTAACATTACGGTTACGCTTGACGATAACGACAAAAAGCCTGTGTTGAATGTTTTTGACGTGCAAGGACCGCTGGACGTTCAGTACATTAGCTTTGGGTCCAGGATGAATGCGTACCCGATAACGTTCCATTTCAAGTGCGATCTGGAGATGCCAAGTACCGAAGGACTGTCGGCGGAAGCACTACTGGGATGCCCCGTTTGTCCCAAGCAGAAGTGTGAAGTGGTTGTGAAGGCCTGTGCCGATAATAATAAGGATGCAAGCGCCTTGGACCCCGAGAAGGAAAAGTACTACTTCTACTTCAACATGTACTTGAATAAAAATAAAGGCAAGAGAACCGATCAGTTGAACTGAACGCCATCCAGCATGTAATTTTTTGCATATTTTATAATTACAACGTATCGATAAATAAATACCCCCAATTTATTAACGCCGATCGGTTGTTTTTATTGTCCATAACTTCGATCCGACACGAGCATTAAGTATTATCATAAAATCAGCACTTTTGATCGTACCCTCAATTAATCAACGCGAGTTTAATCGCTCTATCCTATCATGCCACCGGTTCTGCGCCACCACCGACTGGAGTCAACGCTTTCAAAACCGCACCCCACCTGTGCCTCCTTCGAACCTACCAACCTCGACAGGAACAGCGCCTAGTGAAGTGCACAAAATTAAACTATAAAATTTACTGCGCTAAAAGCAACCGGCTTTTATTGTCTTTCGTGTCCCATCCACCGCGTGTCGGATCGGATAATCACGCACTTATCGCCGTTGGACCAGTTTGCGCGGTATCTCGATCTTCAGCATCCCCGCATCCAGATGTTGGATGGGTGTGTCCCTCTTGATTCTAAATACCAACAAGGACGTTATTAGAGCAAGTACCTTCTTTATGTCGTACAGCTCACTCTTAGTAGGCAGGGCCATTAAAATAGCTTATTGACAAATGTTATTCTTTCGTTGGCGTAAATTGTTTTTCTTTGGCGCATTCTTTGGGGGAAGAATGTTGCTGGCGCTTGATAGGTTGTCTTTGCATACACTTATCGGTTTTAATTGGACAGGTGTGTTGAAGTATCTCGATCGAAGAAGGAGTTTGTTTATGGGTACCTGTTTCTTTATCTTAATGGACATTTGAATAGTTATGTTTTAATCAGTATTTCGGTAGCTAGTAGGGTGACTGTTCCAGTTATTGCATCTGATTATTGAGCTGAAGAGCCGTAGGTTGAATCTAATCTAATCTAACACCAACACAGCCAGTTCTTGAAAGCATCCTGGAAAATGATAGATATACCTCCATCATTTTTCTTGTCTATATATGGTATATGTATGTCTAAACGTGCATCTGTGCAGCATTTAAGGGGCAAGATGATTCAGAAACATCGGGTCTGTTTTAATCAAAAATTTAAACACGATACTTCAAAATTCAATAGATGATTGAAACGTAGACATGTGAACCTCTCTGGAACCGAGGATCATGTCGGCTGTTTCATTGATCTTCTGAAGTGCTTCGTGAATGTGATTGACAGACTGTATTTAACTCCTGAACATCCTTCATTAATAGCGGCTGTTTGTCCAGGTTCTTGGATTGATGTGACGATTCTGCCATACTCGTTCCCAGTGCAATAATCTCTTCCAAACTGCTGTCTTTTTGGATGCCTCGATGTGGTGCAGCATCAGCGTATCGCAGGTGCTCGGTCGTCCGGTGTGCTATATTGATGATTTGGTGGATCGGGTGTTAAATGTAAGTGCCAGAAAGTGTCGGTGGTTGATATATGTAATGTAGCGGAAGAGCCTGTGGTTTTTTGTGCGGTGTACTAATGTTGATTGAAGCGGTTTGTTGACGTGCCTTAACGAAGATATAGAATCCAATTAAGATGATCAATGTTGTGGTGAACGATAATTCTCCCCACAATGACCATGATGTTACATCTGCCTTTGTCTGCAGGTATCCCAATTTGTTAATGTTTTCTAGATGAAGTTTATGTATTCTGATAATGTTAACAGTTTCGTATGTTTGAATTCTGGATATGTTTAAATCAGTTGATGGCGTGAAGAACGGTTGTTCTATGACTCGGATTATTGCATTCGTAAAAATATAGTTTGGAAAGGTAAAGAATAGTTTTCATAAACGATTAGATATGAGCCTTGTAGATGTCTGTTCGTAGCTCCGCAGGTGTTACGAAGTGTATCGGTTACATCGTTCAAACCGACTGTATTGGTTTCCATCTCAATGACTAGAATGTGATTGAAGACAGCTTCGTATGAACAGTTGCTAAGGGATCCAATTATGACGTTGCCGATGCATCTATCGTTAGACACGTCTTTTAGTTCAGACGTTTTACAAATGGCCCAGTTTTCCAATTTTGCACAAGGTATTGTTAAGAGGTACAGGTTTCACTAGCTTTTGAAAAATAATTTGCCAGGTATTATGATATGCTCTGCCCGATTAATCACGGCTTCAGCTCGAAGGCGTTGAAATGTGGTTTTGCTGAAGTTGGGGATGTCTATGATGTACAAGATGACTTCTCCATTGGTGACGACCGATGTAGTAACAAACTGCAAGGCTTCATCTATCAGGTACTGGTGAGTTCCTTGTGTTTCTAATCTTATTGTGATTTCTTCAATTTCATCTGGGTTTAAAAATTTATTGTTTAAAATATTCATTTATATTTGAAAATATTAGCTATTAGAAGCTTCGATTTTGTCATTTATGAGATCTAAATTGAACATGATTTTAAGTGAATCTAACTCTTTTGATATTTCTTTAAAGTTTTGGGAATCTAAGCAAGTAATGTCGTTCAAGTAGTTGGTCAAATTTGCAAGGCCTACATGTAATTTTTCGTTGATTTTTACTTGGTCATTATTATTGTCAACAAGGTGATTTATTGAATTATTTATAGCATTAAGGTCACCTGAATCAGAAGATCCAGCCATGCTTTGCCTAAAGCGTCCCATCTGTTGACTCTATTGCTTCCAGATAGGACACATTTGTTTAGATAGATGTAACGTTAGCGGTGTGTATAATCTTTGTGTAACCTTCTAATATTCTTCCGTCTCTTAATTTTACAACTGCTATGGGGTTTTTATCAAGGTTGTGGATCTGGAGGGATACAAGGCTGGGAGGTATGCTGAAATGAAAATGATAGGGGTGGCATAAGAGGAAGGATGCAGGATTCAGCGGAATTTCTATAATTTTGGGTTCGTATATTTAAATTCTTAATGTTTGATTTATGTACATTTTGATTTTTCTCGTTTCTCACTCTTTGTTTAGTTTGAACACAATGTGTTTTGAAAATTGGTTTGTGTTTGCCTTTGAAAATTTTATCTTTCACAAAAATCTGCAGTCCTTTTTTTGTTATGTTTAACAATTACTTCATCGTATTTTTTGTTTCTGATTTCGTCGATTTTTTCGACGGAGAATGAGTTATTTGATTTGCCGGGCTGGTAGCAATCAAAAAGTGATTTTAGTGACCATGTTGAAGAAATAAGTGACTAAATAGTGACTTATAGTTGTAAAAATAGTGACTAAAAAGTGACCCTGAATTGAATTAAAAGTAAATTTTATGAAACAACTTAGGAATTTCTGAGGAGCACAACTCCTGTGAACTTCAAAGGAAAATTCCAAGGGCATTCTGAGGATAATTTCATAAATTTTGTGAGAGAAAATAAATTCGGAGCATAAGTCCTTGGATTTTTTTTTCGAAAATACTAAAAGGAGGATAACAATTATATCTGAGAATAACTCCAGGACATCTTTCAAGGAATTCGGAAAATAAATTCAGGAGAGTTTACCAAACAATTTATGAGAAGAAATCTAAGGAATTTGTGAGGAGAAATGCCAATGAATTGTTATGAGACTTTCAATGTGAGTAGAATTCCAAGGGAAAGAGTGAGATTCAAAAGGAAATCTGAAATGATTTCAATGAATATTCTGATAATCTTTCCAAAAGGTGTCTTATTGTGGAGAATTTCAAGATAAAAAACCGAGGAAAACTAGAAGAAAACTGAATTCGGAGGATAGCGGAATGGACTATTATGAGGTCTTCAGAACTTCCCAAATTTTTCTGAAGTTAATGAAACTGCCTTGAAGTTCTTTTGTAGTTTGAGAAACTAGCCTGATGCTCACAATACTATTTACTCGTCAAATTCTTCAACTTTCCTGAACTTAATGGGACCTCCTAAAGGTTTCTTAATTTTTCTAACGATCATGAATCTCTTCTAAAGGTTTAACAATTCGATGAAGTTCTCTAAGCTTCTTTAAACTTTATGTGACTTCTCTAATGGTAACGGAACTGCTCTGAGGTTCTCTATACTATACGTTTTTACAATTTTCATGAAGCTTGTTTGACTGCGCTGAATTTAATTGAACCGTCCTTAAAATGTTTCAATTAACTTTTTAACGTCTCTGAAGCTATCTGAAATATGGGAACTGCTTTAAATTTCCCTCTAATTTTCTTAAACTAATGGAACTGACCTCCCCCTGAAATTGCTCAAATTTTCGGAGCTTACTAAACTTCTTTCAAATGCTCCCGCATTTTGCTAGTGTACATAAAAAATGCCTGAAGTTCGTGGATCTCCCTTTAAGCTCCATAGATTACTATGAAGTTCTAAAAATGCTTCTGAAGACCACTGTCTTTCTGTGAAGTTTTCGAAGTTTTTCTACATTTCTGGAACTTTTGTGCTCCCGCAATTTTCATGGCATTAGAGCGAATTTCACTAAAGTTCTCATGATTTATCTGAAGGTCATGAAATTTCCATTAAATTTCTTCAATAGTCTAGGCTTTCCTGGTGTTATTTAAAATACCTAAACGATTATTGAATTTCTTTAAAGTTCTTTAGACAGCCTCGAATTGATCAGTATATTTTAAGAACCCGCAACTTTATTGAAATTAATTGATTTGCCTTAAAGTTTCGATAGTTTTCCTTAACTATTCTAACCATTATAAACGCTAACTTATTTTCCCTAAACTTATCTGCGCTTACCTGAAGTTCTCTAAATTTGTATAATAATCCGGCAAATTTTCTGAGATATTTTCATAATTCTCTGACGCTTCTGACGTTTTTAGATCAATCATAGAATTCTTGGAATACCCCATAATTTCACGGAATTACTTGTAAGTCGCTACAAATTTGCTTTAGTTAATGGGATTATTCTGAAGCTATTTGATCGTCCTCGAAGTACTCGGAACTTCGCTGAATATCATGAAACTATTTAAATTCTAAGTTCTCTGGAGTTTATTGGAGATATTTATCCCTGTTTGCTTAAAGTTCTGGCATTTTAAATAATTAATGGAACTTCGATGATATTCTCTAATCAACTTAGCTATATTTTCGCATTTTTTAAAGTTCTTGAAATCTCCATGATATAACACCCTTAAAATACTCTCACGTTTTCCGGATGTCGATATAATTTTTATCACATTCCAGAA